ACTCCGCGTACTAAAGTTGCACTACGAAGTCGCCAGTTCTCAGCTTCCAGCTCCACAGATTGCTCCGCGTACTAAAGTTGCACTAGAAACTCGCCAGTTCTCAGCTTCCAGCTCCACAGATTGCTCCGCGTACTAAAGTTGTACTACAAAGTCACCAGCTCTCATCTTCCCACTCCCCAGCTACTCCGCGTACTAAAGTTGTACCAGAAGGTCGCCAGTTCTCAGCTTCTAGCTCCCCAGATGCCCCGCGTACTCAAGTGGCACTACCAAGTCGCCAGTTCTCAGCTTCCAGCCCCACAGATTGCTCCGCGTACTACAGTTGTACTAGAAAGTCGCCAGTTCTCAGCTTCCAGCTCCCCAGCTACTCCGCGTACTACAGTTGCACTACAAAGTCGCCAGTTCTCCGCTTCAAGCTCCACAGGTTGCTCCACGTACTAAAGTTGTACTAGAAAGTCGCCAGTTCTCAGCTTCCAGCTCCCCACATACTCCGCGTACTCAAGTGGCACTACCAAGTCGCCAGTTCTCAGCTTCCAGCTCCACAGCTTGCTCCGCGTACTACAGTTGTACTAGAGCTACAGGTCGCACTAAAGTTGTACTACAAAGACGCCAGTTCTCAGCTCCCAGCTCCACAGATAGCTCCGCATACTAAAGTTGTACTACCAAGTCGCCAGTTCTCATCTTCCAGCTCCTCAGATACTCCGCGTACTCAAGTGGCACTACAAAGTCGCCAGTTCTCGACACGCACGATCTCCGCAAAGGGTTGCGCGCGCAGCCGGCAAATCGCACTCTCGCGTGCATTTCGCGCACTCGACACGCACGATCTCCGCAGAGGGTTGCGCGCGCACCGGACGAATCGCACTCTCGCCTGCATTTCGCGCGCTCGACACGCACGATCTCCGCAGAGGGTTGCGCGCGCACCGGACGAATCGCGCTCTCGCCTCCATTTCGCGCACTCGACACGCACGATCTCCGCAGAGGGTTGTGCGCGCACCGGGCAAATCGCACTCTCGCCTGCATTTCGTGCACTCGACACGCACGATCTCCGCAGACGGTTGCGCGCGCACCGGGCAATTCGCACTCTCGCCTGCATTTCGCGCACTCGACACGCACGATCTCCGCAGAGGGTTGCATTTTCGGTTGACGCTGTTCGTTCCACCCTCCGCCTTTAAGAGAGAATTTATAAAGTGGGGAAATGTTTTTCATTAGGACATCTCCCGTGCTAGTTTTCCATGCTAGTTTTTTTCCATGTTCACTCATCACACTTGCATACTCATTGCATGCTTGCATGCTCATCATTAGACTTGCATACTTTGACACTGGCATACTTCGCACTTGGATGCTTTCGCTCTTCCAGTGTGTGTGTGTGTGTGTAAGTGTAAGTGTCGAAGTGTAAGTGTCGAAGTGTAAGTGTCGAAGTGTCAGTGTCGAAGTGTCAGTGTTGAAAGGATTTTCCGGAAGAACCCTTCGCAATGCTTTTGGGAAAAATGTAGCTTACATTTAGACAGGTCCCCCCCAGGTTTTGTAGAGATAGGGGGTGGGGATGCTTCAATGTGTTTTCTCTGTGTCATTGTTTGCTGCCTGTTGTCTTCTCAGCCCCTTGGGCTGGCCACTTGATGCTGGCTGATTCCCTTCAGCTGCAAAGGTCACAGCAAATAGGATGGTTGACTTGTCCTTGTGATCGTTTGGTATTTTCATTGTCGTGTTAGTCCTTGTGCATTGTCATCGCTGTCATTGTCAAGTCTGGTTAATTTCTGCACCCCCCTTGGAGTTCAGTCTCTAGCCTGGGGGGACCATTTCAAAGATATATATAAATTGTTTTTTTGGGGTCGCACCCTCTATAAAATGTCATCACAGGGGTCCCTCCATAGAAATCAAGTTTCTATAGAATGATGCACCTGTGATACTATTTGACGGTCACTTTTAGGTGAACAAAATCACCTGAAAAGTCTATAGAATGGCTCACCAAGCCCAGTTTATAGAAAATGTTGCGTCATACTTTGTCACTCTTTGCTCCCCGATCTCAGCCAGCAAATGCGGCTTCGCGACAAAGACATAAGCAAGATTAAGCAAATGATAACAAGTAAAAACAAAGCCGGAGATTCCTCCTCTATAAAATGGTTGCCCTGAGGACAATTTCATACAATTTCCATCCTTCTAAGAACCACCTGTGTAGTCATTTGCACATTGCAAAAATGCTCACTCAGCCTCAAGCCATCTTTTGCAAAAAGCTCCAACAAATCCTCATTTGTACCTGTATTCAACCAAGCTCCATAGCTAGGATTTTGCTACCCAGGCTCCCCATTTTCTTGAGGCATCTCCAATCGGCGTATTTTTGTTTGTCATGTCTGGTCTGACGTCTATCACGGCAATTTGTGTGGCGGTGTTGCCGCATTGCCGTCAAATATGTGCGCTGGCGGGACATTGGCAGGACCACCGGGTGGGGCCCCTGGCGGGATGAGGGGGGACGTATATACTGTGGCTGTCTCTGGTGTTTGGGTTTTGTGTTGCATGTAACATTGCTTCTTCGAAAACCCCTATTACCTTTTTGTATACTGAAATACAGGTTTGCTTTCGCAAAACTTTCGCGGAGCTTTCGCGACCTGCATTTTGGCTTTCGCGGAAGGTGTGGTGTTATGTGGGGTTATCGCGGTGGCTTTCGCGACGATTCGTTTTCGATTGGGAAATTCGATTGGGATAATGTAATACTGTATGATAAGTGATGTGTCCTTAGGGTGGTCAAAACTGAGCGAATTTCTTTCCGGCAGCACCCTGGCACGAGGAGTTGTAGCAGCACCCTTCAAGTTTTATTGCTGTCATCAGAAGAGGAGGAAAACGATGATGAACTTCCCGACGAGGAGGAGGTCGACTCAGACTTGGGGCCTTTCAGTCTTTGCAGCTTGCGACGTTTCGTGTGCGGAAATTGCGTTTTTGGCGAAAACTGTTTTGCTACTACCTTTCCCGAAGGTTTTCGACTCTTGCGGTTCTTTTGCCAGGCTTTCGCGCGGCTTTCGCGGAAATTTGTCTGGGTTTTTCGATTTTCCCCTGAAACACTTACTCTTCAGCGCTGCCGCTGCCGCCGCCGCTGCCGCCGTTGCTGCTGCTGCTGCGCCGGCTGGCGGGCTGGTCTGCTGCGGCTGCCTACATAAGTCTATGGTCGCCTACATAAACAACACATGACATGTACACCTGAGAAGCTGCAAAAAGAAAGCCAGCGCTTCCATTTTTGAGGTGGCCTGAACAATGGTTTTAGGGCAGCAAACGCCTGGCCCCAGGCCTCGTTTGAAAAAAACATTCTGTTCACACGTAGATATTTCCCATCCACATTCAGATGAAGCAAAAGCCAAAAAATGCACATTGACCTACATTGACCTGGCACCTGGTTGAACATACGATTGGTTGTCAAATGATCGGAAGTGCATTCGTTCAAGTAGAAAGTTTTTAGAGCAAAATTCGAGGTGGCCTGGGACCAGAGGCTCGCTGCCCGAAACTATATGTTCAGGCCACCTCAAAAATGAAGATATGCGAAGCAAGGGTCCTTAGGTGTCTCTGTGACAAGGCTTTTGTTAAAGCGAACAATTTTTCTAGCTAAATTCAAGGTGGCCTGAGACCAGGGTTTGCTGCCCTAAAACACTCTGTTCAGGCCACCTTAAAAATGAAGGTCTGCGAAGCGAGAGCAAAGGGTGCACATTGTCCTTCTGCTGCTTGAATGTGGCCTTTTGTTTACTTAAAAGTTCAAGACCTCCCAGCTGGTTCCACTTCTTCGCTTCCCAGTCTTCCCAGGATTCATATAGGGAGCCAGGCCATTTTCAGAATCTTCTGGATTTGAGCTGTTCGAGTTCCTATTGAAGGGTATAGTTGGCGAGTGCATCACCACCCGCTCCAAAAGCATTGCTGCCCTAAAACACTCTGTTCAGGCCACCTTAAAAATGAAGGTCTGCGAAGCGAGAGCAAAGGATGCACATTGTCCTTCTGCTGCTTGAATGTGGCCTTTTGTTTACTTAAAAGTTCAAGACCTCCCAGCTGGTTCCACCTCTTCGCTTCCCAGTCTTCCCAGGGTTCATATAGGGAGCCAGGCCATTTTCAGAATCTTCTGGATTTGAGCTGTTCGAGTTCCTATTGAAGGGTATATGTTCTAGTTGGCGGGTGCGTCACCACCCGCTCCAAAAGCATCAAAGCATCACCTCCCAGAGTTTACGTATATCTCTCCCGAGCCACACATGCACAGCAAACCACAGCTTTGAAGTCTCGTTCGTGCTTTGAACTTGTATAGGTGTGTAAGAGGTATAGCAACATAGCATTTATACGGACCCAGGGTAGCTACAATTCTGTTCCCAGGTATCGCGTGCATGAGGCTTCAAAGCTGTGGATTGCTGTGCTTCAAAGTTGTGGATTGCTGTGCGTGTGTAGAGGTTATCGAGCGGTTGACGGAAAGGGAACTTGAAGTACTATACCTGGTAGCTGCACTATAGCTACCTTGGGTATCTATACCTGGTAAGGTGCAACTACACCTTTCCATTCAGATGATGCAAATGATGCAAATTGCATTTCTTGCACCACCACCCCTCAAAAATCCCTCCAACACAACCTCAAAAAACCTTCCCTCGATGCACCCTCCTCCCCCAGCATGTGCCGAGTGTACGTGTACCTTTTGCGGGCCACCCCCCCCAGACCCCCTAACTACTCACTTCGCTCGCAAAGCACAACTCAGCTGGCGCCTTCTACGAAGGCTGGCTTTCGTAAAGAAATTTGACTTTCACGAAAGCTTTCGCGACGCTGCGGGGCATTCGCGAACCTTGCGCGACCTGCATTTTAGCTTTCGCGAAAGAATGTGAGATTACAGTTTGTGCACTTTTCATCGCAGAGGTTTTTGAAGCTGCTCTGTTGTTGCTGTTGCCATCTTGCCATAATGCGTTTTATGCGCACTGTGCGTGTTGCTAGCGGCATGATTTGTTGCCAGCCGTCGCGTTGGTTTTCTGGAGAAAACCTCACTCCAGGCGCGCCTGCGCGGGGGAGCGATCCCCCAAGGACGCCGGGCCCACGTGCAAGTCCTCCGAAGGCTCTGGCCACTGCCGCCGAGCCTTGGCCTTGAGCACGCCGCAGGCGCTCAGCGGGGAGCGGCTCCGGTTGCCGAAGTCGGACTCATCCTTGGCACGGCGTACGTCGGAAACCCGCTGAAGAGACGTCCGAAGAGGTGACATCGAAATGGTGCAAATCATGAGGGATAGTAATAGCTTTTTGTTACTACTAGTAAGGCACCTGTTACTACTAGCGTGGCACTTGTTAATGTAAAGGGATGCATCAAATCGTTGCTGCGCGCGGCAGTGGAGATGTAATGGCTCGATGAACCTTTGGCGGTCTCTTCAGAAGCACTTCAGTTCAGGCGTCGGATTCAGCTGGTCTCCTTGAGGGTTGCATCTTTGGCCCCAAAGATTCACGCACAGCAGGGCACTCACGACACAAAGAAGTATATAAGGTCAGCCCCCTTCACCCAAAAAGTCCCCAAGTGCTTCATCCAGGCTGCCAAGGTTTCATTCTCTGACTGATTCGATAGAGCCTTCGCGGAACACCACAGCACCAGCCAGGCCAACCACCAGGTGTGCCAGCACATATGGCGCGCCGTGGCTCTGGGCCGGCGATTGCCCTGAAAATGCCTTATTGTATCCAGCTTATATAGCTTCTTCCATTGAACAAACAAAAAACATTGATCAACTGAAAGATTGACATGATCTGCATGCCCCATCATGCCCCTACAATTTGCCTACAATTGCTTGAATGAGCTTGTTTGACCGTTTTGGCGATGACTGTCTTCTTCCCTTGACTATCAAAATCAGCGCCCACCAGCCATACCTTGAACCCACTGAACCTCATACCCTCCTGCAATGCTGCGCTCGTCTGCACTTTAAATACAAGGCTACGGCCTGGTCGAGCAAGAACATGAGAATCAGGACAGTGATCTAGAAATCTAAGCTGTGATTCCTCGGATTTAGAAGCCGCTCATCTTCTAGGCTGCAAGGACTGAATTTAACATCGACAAAGCAGGGTCAGCCGTCTACTGCCTGAGATTTGTAACTGGCAGTATGAACCCTTGTTTCTAGCGTGTGGGGCGTAACACCCACCCGACCCAACCACCTTCGAAAACAACAGCGCCTCTCTTCGACGCGATGCTTTCGCGATGTCCCAGCTGTCGCTTCCTAGAAGTCAAAGTGAACGGCGCCCTCATTTGAGCGGCACCAGTCGAAATCGTCCAGGCCCTCAATGACATGAAGGATTTGAAGAAGGACTTCCAAGTGCGGCACTGTTAATCTTAGACTGTGAATATAGCATGTCGCATTGGATGAAATCACGATTCCGAAATGTTTAACTCTCGAGATGGCCCGACGCGGCCCTATGTGCAGGGGACAATGCACATGGTAAAAAGGTCTTGCTGCCCACAGTGGTAGCGGAGCCAGGTTCGGCCCTTGGACCTGGCTCGGTTTGGTTTGGTTTGGTGGTGTTCGGGGTTGTCCCTGGTTGGTGGTTCGGTTTGAGCCATGCCCCCGGTTGCGGCTGCAGCAGCCGCCGATGGTGCTGGGGCCTCGAAGCCTGAAGGCCATGGAGTTGATGAAGGGCTACCACGCCCTGGTGATATGGATGAAGAGGATTTGGCCGAGGAGGCCTTCGACAGCGATGAGTTCCGGGCTTTCTTCGAGCCCGGTACCCGCACCGCCAACAGCGGCGGCGCCATGGCAGCTCGACCAGGAGCGTCGACAGTGAGTTGGGCGATGGTGGAAGCAGCCTTGGAAGCAACGGGCCACCTCCAGAGTGGGATGGCGAGTCTTTGGCCTTTCAGGACTATGCCATCAAGGCCAGGTTATGGCTTGCAACCACCAAAGCCCGTCCCCGTGCACGTGGGCCGCTACTCCTTCAGAAGCTGACGAAGACGCCCTTTGAAACCATGAAGTACCTCGCCCGTGACCGGGCGTGGATGACCAGTGGGGGCAACGGTGATGAACTGATCGCCCTCATGGAGCTCCCCGAGAACTTCGGCGAGGACCGCGAGGAGGACTTGCTGCCCAATAGCTTCGGTTAGGCAGATTTCTAACTATTAGTCTATATACTGTTTCTTAACTATTAGTTAAAACAGATGATTAAACTATTAGTCAGAACAATGGTTTTAACTAATAGTTTGAAAGGTCAAATAAACTAAAAATGTAAGGTTGTTCAATTGATTAACCTAAAAGGTTTGTGTTTTCTTCAAATGATTTTTGATTCTATTTTGTTCAAAATGCTCTTGCCAAAAGCAAGACACTCTTCACATAAGGTATCACCCTAAAAGATTCACCTATGATTTTCCTGACACACAAACACAAATTCACCTCAACAAGTTGACCAGAATAACATATTCACCTTAAATATTCACCTCGTGCTTTTACTCAGAGCAGCCAGGTTCACTTCTCAAAAAAGATCTGGATACAGGATTCACCTTGATTCACCTTAGACTGTGGGTGGGAGCACACAGATTCACTTTAAAACAAAATCAGAGCCAGAGGTGCTTCAGTCAGAAAAAGATTCACCTTAGCCTTTCACTCAGAACAAAGGCAGGTTCATTCCACAAAAGAATCAGAGTAAAGATTCACTTCAAAGGTTCAGCCAAGGCTTTCATTCGACAAAGACAGAATCACACCCAAAAAGATTCATAGTAAATGAACCACTGTAGTTCATCAGCAATGATGCTGTTCACTTCGGAAAAGGCAAGTTCACACATGTGCGCAAGACCTTCACACCTCCAATGTGTTTGACCCAGTGTGTTGTGGCCCAAGGTGTCTCAGCAAAGACTGGTGGCTGATCCCAATGTTGGGGTCCGAGAGCTGCAAGCAGTCTTTGTCAACTTCTTGAAGACACAGCCCACGAAAGATTTGTTGGCTGTGTTGGGGCCCTCCAACTCTTGCAAGAGAGTTGACTGGAAGAGTGCACCTCTTGCTGAAGGAGATGATCCATGTGCAAAGGAGATAAGTCAAAGAACGATGAAACTGCACATAAATGCAACAAAAATGTTACAAATCAAATACAAAAATACAAAAATTCACAATGATAGTCATCAAAACACACCTAAAATGAATGAACTGGAGTGTAAGTTTGGTGTAAGTTTGATGTAAACTTACACTAAAACGTTTAGTGTAGGTTTGGTGCAAACTTACACTGAAACTTACACACCTGGAGTGTAAGTTTACATCAAAGTTACACACAGAAGTGTAAACTTACACTGTGAAGTGTAAGTTTGATGTAAACTTACACTCAGGAATGTAACTTTAGTGTAAAGTTACACTGTTGATGTGTAAGTTTGATGTAAGTTTGCACCAAACTTACACTAAACTTACACTATGGAGTGTAAGTTTCAGTGTAAGTTTACATCAAACTTACACCAAACCTACACTACAGTTCACTGATTTTAGGTATGTTTTGATGATTTTCATTCTGAATTTTGCATTTTTGTATTTGCTTTGTAACATTTTTGTTGCATTTATGTGCAGTTTCATCTTTCTTTCAGGTGGTTTTCTTAGACTTGCAACAGCTTTTGATGAACAATCTATTGATTTACTCCCTGGGTTTGGAAAGCCCAGGCTTTTGTCTTGGAAGGAAGGTTCCAAAAAAGGTTGAGATAAAGCATTCACCAAAAATGCGCAAAGTCTATGGAGGTAAAGAATTAAATCCAGATTCACTTGGAAGATTCACATTGCGATGTTTAATGAGAGTTTCATTTGAGTTTTAAGGATCACTTGATATTCCAACACCTTCTTTGGTGATTGAAAAAAGGAATGTGACAAACACATTGGCACTGTGCAATTGCAAGGTTTCTTTTTGCATATGTTCACTTTTGGGCTTTTGGAAGATGTTCATGTGCGTTAATTTTCAGCACTGCTTCCAGCACATGGTTCTTTCCAATGTCACATGACAATGCCACAATGTGTGTCGCATTTCGTCACTATGAACCTTTCAAATGTCTACAAGGTTCAATGCCTGGCTTGAAGCCAGCCTTTGAACCTGAAAGTTTTTTGTCCCCTCCACCAGCTCGACTGACTTCTAGGTTTTTGCCTCAGAGCCCTTTGTCTGCAGCCATGGCAAAGGATGATCCATTTGGGAAGACAATCGTTCAAGATTCACTTTGACATTAGACTCACCTTCTATCTACACAGGCTCACTTTGGCATGGGCTTCAGTTTTCCTTCTGTAGACTAGAAGAATCATTTTCAGAACAGAGAATAGTAGCCAAACAATTGTACAAGAACAAAAATGTTGTTACATTGTTGCTGGACATTTGTTTTGCCAAAACTTTTTATGCGCTTACTAGGTGTACTTTTCAGGTTGTTCCATTAAACAAACTAATAGTCAGAAAGAGCTATAAACCTATTAGTCAAAACATGTTTAAATTATTTAGTCTGTTTTCTTACCAAATAGTCTATACAACCTAATAGTTAGAAATCTGGCTAACCGAAGCTATTGGGTGGCCGCCTTGGCGAAGATCACCTTTCATCTTCGTCGAGGCAAAGATGAGCACTTTCGAGCCTTCTTCAGCCGCTGGGACGTGGCGATGAGGAAGGTGGCTGAGCGCACAGTCGTACTCCCAGAACGGTACGTTGGCTTCCTGCTCATCAATGCCCTGGTGCTCTCCGACGCCGACATCAAGTCGCTCCTCAACTACTCCCGGGGATTCATCAAACCCGGAGATATCCGGGAATGGATTCGCAAACACGAGACGAAGCTCCAGGCGTCGCAGGTTGGGGTTGAGAAGGAGAAGAAAGGAACTATGACCACGAGCTCACGGACGGCGTCCTCCACCGCTGCGCGCTACATCAATGCCGAGCCCAACGACCCGGAGGATGACCAGAGCTTCATGATCTACGAGTTGATGAAGAAGAAGAGGGTACCTATGGTGAAGATGGGGATGGAAGTGTCCTCGAAGAACATGAAGCCGCGGAGGTGCTGAGCACCATTTTGCAGCAGAAGAAAAAGACCTACATGCAGACCCTCAAGGCCAAGAAGGCGAAGGAGCTATCACGAGGGTTTTGCAACACCTTCGGCCAAGAGCTTCACGATGGTGGGCACCAATGCTCCTTTCAAGGAAGGGAACTACCGCATGACCGTGGAGGAGTTGAAGAAGGTCACCAAATGCGCCATCTGTCGAAAGCCAGGTCACTGGCACAAGGAGTGCCCTGACAAGGATCGAGATCGTGGAGCCCCGAAGGAAGCTCATGTGTTGGAAGAGGCGATCTTTTGTGGCCACCTTGAGGAGCACCCGGGTGAGGGCGTTTTTCTTCCTGGAGCTGAACGCCTGAGCGATGAAATCTCCGCAGATGTCCCGAGTCATGGTGGCTCGGGATCTAGTGATCAACGATCGATGGCACCTCACGTCGAGAGTGCATATATGGCCAGGGTGACCCTCCGGAAGGTGTTTCTAGTAGTCATCACGGTATTTTTGGTGTTATGTATGGGGAAAGTCCGAAGCTTGTTTCCGAACCTTTCCGATCGAACCCGTACCCCGATGAATGTTGCGCAACCATCGACACCGGTTGCCAACGGATGGTCGTGGGCCGACAGACCCTTGAACGATTTGCTCAACGCCCCCCTCCTGGACTTCCGATCAGGACCAAAGACCAGACTCACCGGTTCAAGAGCGTTCATGGCATATCGAGCACCCGAG